GCCTTTCTGATCTGGAGCGCGGCTCCGGAACGGGAGGGATTCGGTTTCAGCCCGTCGCCTGATGCCTTCGCCCCGATTTCGTTGCAGCCTCTCCTTTCCGCAGCCCAGGTCTGCTGCTTGCGGGGGGGACACACGTACCCGCTTCGGCAGGCCGGGCTGGGCTTTGCTCTTGCACAGGGCGGTAGCTGGCAGCGTTAGCCCGCTGTCCGATGCTCTTCCTGGTTTAGGTCCTTCGGGATCAATACCGCTGTCCTCTGAAGCCGGATAATCCACCTGAACTGTGGAGCTCAGTAGTTGCGAGCTGGATATGTTGATACTAATAGGGGCTAATCCTCAGACTATTAGCGTTTATTATTATGTCATTAAAGCCTTGCACAGCTGAGGTGTGCTTCTGCAGAACACCCTCTGAAATGAGCTTTTCTCTGGTTTTTGTAACGCTGTGTTCGCCTGCCTAGGTGTCCGGCCGGTAGATGGCTTCAGGAGGGCTGTCTGCAGAGTTGGTCTGGCGGTCGTGCGCAGAATAAAATGTATTTTCTTGTCAGCCAGAAGTCAACACGCGTAGGAATAGGCGTGAATTGTCCATTGTGAATGTCAGGAAGTGCGGCAGTTTCTAGCCAGCCAGCTGTTTTCCCCAGCGCTAGCACGCTGCGATAGCCTTAAATGTAGCTCGTCTAAAATGTTCTTTCCGCAGGAACAGAATGGGCCAGGGAGGCTCCAACCCAGCCGCAGTTCCACACGCCGCTGAAGACATTCAGGGAGACGACAGGTGGATGTCGCAGGTAAGCCTGGGAGGGGCGGTGGTCACATGAGGATGGGTCCTCTCTACTGGGAGGCCGGGGGGGCTGTTGGGTGACTGCTGCACGGGCTCCGTCTGGCCACGCTTCTGACCCTTGAGGTCGTAATAGCTCTGGCAGGCTGTCAGGACGTGTCTGTCTTGTAACGATGAAGCAAGGCAAAAACCAGCATCGTTGCATGACCTGAAAGCTGCCCTGTGGAACCGTTTGAGAAAATACTCCGTTTGGCCCATTAGCTGGGAGAAGCTGCCAACCCCTTTGTTAAACAAAGTGCAGAGCAGCGCTTTCCAGCGTGCATCTTTGCGAGGGAGTGACAAAGCTGAAAACAGCAGAGGCAGAGTGTCTGGACTGCCTGTCCCTTGCTGCGGTGCTTCCTCCCTTCCTCGGCAGGGAGAAACAGCCAGAGGATACTCGCTGCAGTGACTAACCGTTAATTTCTCTGTTCTGTAATTGTTGAGTCCCACGGGCGTCTGACAGGCTCAGGGCTTACGTACGTGTAGCACGTAGAGCAGACGGGATGCTCCTCTTACCAGAACCGAGGGTGTTGCTGGGGTTTGTGTAGTCGGGAGGAGCATCCAACGGTTCACGGGTTAACGCAGAGGAGGGTGGTGGAGGCGCAGCAGGGGAAACTGGTTGGGCAACTGTCCCTTTCTGTCCTGCAGCAGAGATATGGAGGAGGAAGGATCAGCCAGAGCTTACCTTGCTGCTTTCTTTTAACAGCACAATAGGTTTGTCTTGGACTGCAAAGACAAGGAGCCCGATGTGCTCTTCGTGGGTGACTCCATGGTGCAGTTGCTTCAGCAGTATGAGGTATTGTTAAAGAAGGGAGGCTGGTGAGGTTATGGGAATTAGAGCATTTCTCTCTCTAACCCAGTGATCGATGATCACGTGTAATCCCGACAGTCCCTTCTGTTCTCATTTTACTGCCATCCCTTCGGGCTTATTCTGCCCCGCTTCCTTAACTTCCCACTGCTTGTAGGAAGCCTTGCCAGTTTATCTCTGTAAGCCATTTGCAGTCTTTCTCCGAAGCCATTGCCGACAGCCTCCATTCTGACACACGTACACAACCCCATGCTAGTTCCTTGAGTCTGAGATTCCAGGCTCCCGAGGGGACGCCGTCGAATTCTCTGTAGGCGTGCCTTGCGCGGCCAGAGCACGTGTAGCCCTCTAGCGCTTGGGGTGCTGTAGGCATGGGCACCCTGGCTTTTCTCTAAAACTCTGGTGGGGCAAAGAAGAGTTCTGCTGCTCCGCCTTGGTGGCAGCCGAGCAGCTTGGTTCTGCAAGAGCTGCTTCCATTTCTTCTAATTTTGTTACCTGGTGATGAAAAGGATTTCTTCAGGTCATACGTACCTCCTGCAGAAGCCCCGTACTTAGGGAAGCTAGGTACACGGTGGTCTGCGTCAGGTCCAGCATTCTCTGATGCCCTTTATGGAAATGAGTTTTCAGAGGAGGAGGTCTCATGGCTACTTGCAGTGTCCCCGCAGACATCACTGGCCTGTGCAGTATCTTTCTCTGACGATCAGGGTGCTGCTCTGAAATAGCCAATTGATTTCTGATTGCAGATATGGCGAGAGCTCTTCTCACCGCTTCACGCGTTGAATTTTGGGATTGGTGGAGACACTACAGGACACGTTCTATGGAGACTGAAGAATGGTGAACTGGAGAACATTAAACCGAAGGTATAAGCAGAAAACCAAACCAGGCAGCCCTGTGCTGACTTAGAAGAGACTTCAGCGCTTGAGTGGTGGCAGAGCTGAGTGGGCTGTTAACTCTTAACAGGACTTTTTGTTTGAGCACTCGTTGGCGCCGAGTGCGCGTCAGGTATTGAAGTGTGCTCGGCTAATCCAGAAGCGTTTGGGAACAGAGCTGTAGGTCTCAGAGGCGGGGTTTATGCTGCTGAATATGCCGATCGGAGGATGTCGTCAATAAATAGAGACGAGCTAGTCCTAGTCCTAGCGAGAAAGTTGATCGGGCCTATGCTTTGCCGTAGCTAGGTGTAGTTTGGAGTTGCAGTGTGTCTCTCGGGCCTGAGATGCATTCTTGGCCTCTGGAAAGGGATGGCAAAGTATTCGGTAAGGAGTTAGTAAAGGTGTTCAGGAGGCGTGGTGAAGATCAGCACCGACGGTTGCAGCCCTGTTGCGAGTGTCTTCGCTGAAAGCGGTGGACACCGCACCGCCGTGCTGTTAGGCAGTGCGTGCCCCAGGTAGGGCGGCAGTGTCGCTCGTATTCCAGCCTGCTATTTAACAGTTTACGGTCTTTTAAAATAACAAGTGGAGCTGTACGGTTGTCCCTGCCCCTAAGGAGCTTACGCTGTACCGTGTAGGTCTGTGCTGCCCTCTTTTTGACCAACGTGGGCTCTTGCAGGTGTGTTGGCCAAGAGGCTCTGAAATGGGGTGGGCTCAGACATCTCTTAGGCTGTCCAGAAAAGCTTCAGTAGTTCTTCGTCCGTACTGAAGGCCAAAACAAAAGCTCATAAGATGCTCTTCAGAAACTGGCATAACTGTCGGCTGAAGACCTCTTACAGTCTGAGTTTGGCCTTAAACGTGACCCTTCTTGCAGCTCGCTGGCCACAGATGATGTTTATGCAGGGTTTTCTGGGTCAGCAAGCCCATTACGACTTGTTCTGAAAAAGTTGCAAACATTTTTTCTCCTTGTAGGTCATTGTTGTTTGGGTTGGAACAAATAATCACGAAAACACAGCAGAAGAAGTCGCAGGTGGAATCGAGGCTATCGTGCGCCTGATAAACACCCAGCAGCCACAGGCCAAAGTTATTGTACTGGTACGTCTCTCGGAGCGCTGTGAAAACAAACCGCTCTGAGGAAGCCCCGTGGTCTCTGTACCGTGCCTCTGCCATCCTGGGAGTTACCGATCGTTGCCGGGGAGGGCAGGCGCTTTATCTGTCTTCTGCTTTGCGCGCACCTCCCCTTGTTCACTTGGCTTTGCAGAAGTCGTCCTTTGGGCCCCGCCGGGGCGGGTGTAGTCGTTCCCAGTGGTGCTGTCCCACTTAGAAATGTTGTTGAAGAAGTCCTGTGAGGGGAAGATAGGTGCCCAGGTGAGAGCTGGCATTGGAAGTCCTAGTTGGCTTCCTTGTCTTAGCAGCTGCGCCGATGCCTCTCTTGCTGAGAAGCTGGGCGATGGCATTCGGTACGCCGCTGAAAGCTTATAGAAAGAGCGCAAGCTGATCTATTTAAAAAAAAAAAAAAAGAAAAAGAAAAAAGAAGGTGGGTGCCTTGCCAGTTGTGCTTGTAGCTCCTCTGGCTCCTTCAGCTGCATTTCCGTTAGGTCTGAATGGAGAAGGTGTGATTGAAGGGATGAGTTCCTCTTGTCGCAGATTTCTTAAGTCTTGAAAGGCCGCCTGAATTGGAAGGGAAGGCGGGCATTGTTATGCCATGGAGGTCGTTTGCAGCTCTCTTTTGCCTCCTTCCTGTGCCAGGGCCTGCTACCTCGTGGAGAGAAGCCAAACCCTCTGCGGCAGAAGAATGCCAAGGTGAACCATCTGCTAAAAGCCTCGCTCCCCAAACTGCCCAACGTCCAGCTTCTGGATGTGGACGTCGGCTTCGTGCACTCGGATGGCACCATCTCGTACCACGACATGTTCGACTTCCTGCACCTGACGGGAGGGGGCTACGCAAAGATCTGCAAACCCCTCCATGAACTGATCATGCAGCTGCTGGAGGAGACCCCCGAGGAGAAACGAGCTGCCCTGGCCTGAGTAGCTGCTGTCAGCGTTAACAGCATCATCCAGCCCATCAGATCAGTTCTGTCACTGGCACTACAGAATCCTTCTTTCTTAAAGCACTTTCCATTGTAGAATGTTACCGGATGTTCGTACCTAGTGTTTTGAGGGGGAAGGCTAATGTTTAACTGGTCTTGTACATACGAGGGCCGGCTTGGTTGGTTTTATTGCAGGAGGAAATTAGCTGAAGAAGAGTTTTACTTTTAAACCATTCCTCATTTAAAACGAGAACAGGACTGTCACTCTGTGCCCCTCTCATGTCTTGTTGCTCTGTGGTTGTCCTAGAACCCTTTGTAGCCTGTCTCTGACAGCCCGCGCACAGCTCCTGGCTCACCGCTCCTGGCTGTAGGGATTCTGCTCTGTCTAGTAGCCTGTCAACAAGAAATCACATTCCACTTGCAAAAGCCAGAACAGATGCATTTTTCCAAACTCGGTCCCACCTTTTAAAGTTCTTTTGGGGTTGTTTTTTTGATTTTGTTTTGGTGTTTTTTTTTTTTTTCCTGGTGGGGTTTTAAGTGACACGTGTTGCTTTCTCACTCCTCCTTTCTGAAGCAGCGTGAAACTGGAATTCAGAAATGTAAGGAAAGGAACGGCTGACCGAACTGGTGTGACACTCCCAGGTGCTTGTTCTTGTGCTTATTTCACGGTGCCCACTAGCCTGGGCACCCTTCCTCCCACCTGGCTTTCCCTGGGGGCAGCCCTCTTTGGTGCTGCTGGCTGTCCTGTTCTCCGCTCCTGTCCCTGTGTGGTGTCGCTGGCTTTTAACCGTTGCTCAGTTTAGGATTTTAATTACCCAGTAAGCACCGCGCAAGGCAGTCGCTTCCTCGCTACTCTAGAACGGACGCTTCGTTCCCCTGAGACGCGTGTGCCACAGGGCTCTCTGCAGTGCTGTTCGTTGTTCTCTCTGGGTTTGTTGTTTTGGGGTTTTTTTTAGGTATGACTGTTACGTCCTTTCTTTCTGAAGGAAGCCCATATGAATAGCCTCTGTCTGCAAGGCCTAAATCAGTCTGAAGCTTTATGGATTCCAAGGTGTATATTTCTTTATCGCTTCTGTTTTACTTGTATAAACATTTTATTTGAGCAACTGCAGCCTCTTACAGTAAAAAGTGAGGTCGAGGTGTAGCTTTTCCTGCCCTGGACGCTGCTCCTCGCCCCTCGCCAAGGGAGCCGGAGGGGCAGGTGCCCTGCTGGAGGGGCTGTGACCAGGCGGGATTTCGGTTTGGTTTTTTTGGTTACCAGGGCTGGTTGTAGTCTACTAGCGATCCTATGAAAACAGCCTTTCATTCAAAAGTGAGAGGTTCTTCTTTTTCAGAAAGAAACTGGTTTGGACCCGAAAGGCAGAGCCCTAGATGACTTAGATAACTCTACTTGCAAATAAAACAATTTTAAACAAAGTCTGTTCCTCCTTGGCTTACCTGCCAGAG